ATGAGTGATGACCCAACTAGAAACAAATGAAAGATGAAAGCCATGAATCCCAGGATAAAATAGTAACTTCATGATGAATGATTTCATGCTACAACATATATGATACCAAAAGACATACCGGTTCAGGTTCCTCGGGAATTTGAAACCTGCTTTGCTCAATAGCGAGAAGATGAACAATGTGCTCACACTGGTTAGATACATTGTCTTTCTGCATAACAATCCAAGTACAGTCATCAAATTATATTTCAAAGGGAGAAGAAAAAAGGGAAAAAAGAATGAAGTTTAACGAACAAGGAAAGAAACTACATGCATAAAACACAAACAAAAACATCAAAGAGCATATTATAAAGAAATGATCAAATAGAATCTACAAACAGCAAATCATTTATACTCATGACAAAGATATTTTAAGCATACTAGAAAGAGCACACTCATAAAGCTATGGAAGAAGCCTAAACAAATGTAAGAAACCTCATCCATAGCGTACTTTGTGAACCTTTATTATACTCCATCCATCCCTATTTAACCTTCCCATTTTGAATTATGATGTAAGTTATTTTCAATTCAAGTTTTTAAATATTGGTCTAAAAAAAGTGAACCTCTCATGATAAGCTACATTCAGCAATTCATGTGCCCAAATACCATCTTTTCATTGACTTGCAATCATGTCATCATAAGCGTTAATGAAGGGAAAAGGGGGCATCATAGAGTTTGGGCACAATGACAGTAACAAGAAAAATAAAGAGAAGATATTGGTAGATGACCTTGTGAGAGAATTTCTATTAGCTCATGGTAGTTGCCCCATTGGTCACATATTAAGTCTTGGATGTTGTGGTCATCGTAAGAATTACAAATGTATAGCCCTTGTTTAAGTTAATTGTAGAAATGCAATAAGAAGTCTTCACTAAAAAAAATGGTTATGGGTTAAGTTGTATGTTAAACACCAAGAATAATTGTGCATTAAAAAAATATCTATGTATGCTGGATCCAGATTACTTGGACAGCTTCAAGTTGCAGTTCAGAATGCAATTATTATGAGGAACAGAGAAGTAATGCATGCCTGAAATCCAAATGTAAAATGCAAGAAATCAAATATATCTGCACTCCTTGTTGTTGGTATGGAGAACGTTCTGGGCAAGTTTGGCAGACCATCGAAGTACTTCAAAGCTGAAGTGGCAGCACGAACCTAGAATATTATCAAATCAATCAAAACCCAATGTCATAAGCAATAGTTGAAAATATTGAAAAAAACATAAAACAAATGCACAAACAATAAGTATGGCCAACCTCCAGGAAAGAAACAATAAAATTTGTTGTCGTAGTGACATCAAATGGAATAATATTATAAGTCAGATCCTCGATCATGGCTGCATCAGATTCCATCATATTTTTCAGCTGATCAAAGAGCAGTCAAGACAAAATGAGTTAGTTTTCAGAGAATCAGAGATAAAAGAATCTTTAGAAGTAACTAGAAAATAAAACATAATTTTCACAATAATTTACTCAAACAGCAGATGAGGCATTGAAGAAAAAAAAACATGAAAGGAACTAGCTAATGAACTTCCTCGCTCCTTTACCACATCACATATCACCATTTGAATACAGTGCAATTGTGCAAATGCCACTTGAATTGAGAAAACATAAAATTCAACAACAAATAAGATGAACTTGACTACTTTCAGTATGATATATTAAATTCAAGGATGTGTCAGGAGTGCAAGCATGCAGGGTACGGGGTGGAGGAGCTGGTCGCCCAGGGGGGACAGGTTTCAACACCTGTGAAGAATAGTGGGCACTGGGGAGGGTGGGGGTGGGGATTTTCCGGGGGTGTAGTGGATAGGAGCTAGTTTGGGCCCAATGGATCACCATAGGCCCCCAAATGGTCATGTTGTCATAATGCAACACCAAAGCTTGGTGTCAAAAGAAACGTACTGTTTAGGGATATAAATACTCCATCCCAAAAAGATCTTTACTTTTTTAATTCAAAAAGGTCAAATTATATCC